CATCGCTCAAAAATGTTTTGATTCAAGTTATAATATAAGCTTCCCTCAAACTGAAACATAAACCGTCAAAAGAGTCCTTTTTTGGTTTTCATTGGTGATTGATTTTAAGTGGAACCGTTTATGTTATCAGTCATGGAGATGATCCGAAAATACACCAATTCAAGTTGGTTTCAACTGTCGGGGCCCTTTTTATCGGCGGCGATCATATACGAAAAGAATTATACTATAATTCTCTTCTTGACATACGTTGCATGCCACTTTTCGCGCGCGAAGCCGTAACATGTATCAATTCTCTTCGTATATCAATATGATATAATTATATAATTTATAGTCATTGATGGAAAATATCTTTAAGCCAGATGGTCTTGGCCACTCTGGATAGATGCATATAGTTATGGTTGTTATGAAGTTGCCGGGTAGTTATAGCCGAACCTTAATCTATCAGTTAGTTCTGATAGATTTGGTTCTGCTCATTTAATTGGTTAGATATTTAATTGATGAACCAATGGACGCGGCAATCTGAACAGCGAGTCTCTTAACTTTATTTCTGCACTATAAGTATAATATCAAAGTTAGTAACAACGAAGCAGCTGATTCCTTAAGTAATACCTAGTCAGCACGGTCCAAAATGAGGTTATGATATGCTCGTTAGTTTTTATGACAGTGTGAAGGAGCAAATGTAATCGCTAGTACTTCTTTCAATCTGTCAGACGAAAGATCTATTTAGAAGTTGTAGTATAATAACACCGGAACTGGAAAGTGAACGACAACAGTTCGATATAAACTCGGCACTACTCATCTGATTCTTATAAACAAGGAATTGTCAATAATGTGGCTGCTTTTAAAATAAACGTTATATCCTACCAGCTCCCAATCAAATGCGAGATCCGAGCAGAACTATCAATAAACACGTGAAACATGACACGGACAGTTGCAAGTTGTCAATTCAGAACATGTCGAGTGTTATAATAACTTGCTGATAGCTTTTAGCACCACTAATAGTTTCTTGACTATCAGTTTAACTTTAGGTTATTGCTTAGTCTAGACCTAGTTGGGTTGTCTATTTTTAACCGTTTTGGTCAAATAACTCGCTCCTACTAAATCGCTCGCCCAAATTTTAAGAAAATTGTTGTGAAAAAGCCTTTCGGGTATGAAATTGATCTAAATCCGTGTATTTTTGAACCCTGATTCTGAATCAACCCCCATGACCTAGGGTAAAAATGCTTCCCTGGAGAGTTATGGGCAAAAAAACCGTTTTGGTCACGTGACAGGCTAGTAAAACATGACTTCGCTCGGGTTAGGGTTAGGGTCGTGGTAAGGGTTATATGGATAGCTTCGGGGTTATGGTTAGGGTTAGGGTTGGGATTAGGGTTTAACTTGACGTAAAACTGTTTAGTTAAAAGATTAGTACATTTTAGCTTATGATTAATATTATATTTTACCTATAGTTTACCTAGATTGTACGGCTGCAAAACCATAAAAACCAAAGTCACGTGAAATTGTTGGGCGAGCGAATTAGTAAAATCAGCATTGATTGACGGTGTCAACCCATCGAGATCGTTCCTCTGCTTCGCAGAGCAACGATCGACGATGCGAAGCAAGAATGCTAGTTTGCGCGGCGCGTCGAAGCGGCGAAGTCCTCCAAGTAAGAGCCCGAATAACTTGTGGTATAATCACTGGTACTGGTAGGTGTCGGTTACATGAGCAGTTCAACCCAATAAAAACCAAAAAAGGACTCAGTCTTTTGACGGTTATTTGAGGGAAGCTATTATAATTTAACTTGAAAGTTGAATCAGAACATTTTTAAGCGCTGCTTCCAGATCATCTCCAAGTCCACTCGCCAAGGATTTTTAATTTTTTACACTTAATCTTATATTATAGAAGGGCCCTGGCCATAATATTATGAAAGGAACACCATAGAACGTTGTATTTTTGTACGAGCTGATTCCAAAACACCCCCATGACAAGGGTTAATAGTAATAGTAATACGCTTTCCTGAGGAGTTGTGATCTGTGTTAGTCACGTGATTGGCTATATTTACTATAATATAAGTGTCCAATAGCTGAAATACAGGATTCTTAATTGAAAAAGTGGTCCGGAAACCAATAGCAATATAAGTCGCCACTAAAAATGAGACCTGGTGATTGTGCCACTGCCACTTACCCCATGCAGTCAGCTACAGCAGTCAGTGTGACCACTGACCAGGTGCATTTATATCACCTTCAAGTTCAATATGTCCTTTTAGCACTACTAATGCAGTATCTCTTTGTTACTGCACTGCCACTATAATAATTATAAATATATTACTGGGCGGCGCTCAGCCTGCATTCCACCGAATCTTTATGCTGACCGTACCCCGCTGTGCCATCTTAGGGGGGCGCCAAATCCTCGTTTGAATGTGGGACAATTTTGAAAAACTTAATTAATACTAGCAAAACAGAAAACTGCGCGTTTGGCTTTGCTCTAGAAGTAGAAACACACTTTTTTAACATTTAAACTTAAAGATTTTACCGATGTATCCTCTATAAAGTCTAAAATCACCTAATTTGTTCAATTTTAGGGAGGGCCGGGCTCCAACAGGGGAGGGGCACCAACAGGGGGGCGCTTTTACAGCGGGGCAGGCAACGTTACGCCAATGCGGTAAATCGGGGTTTTAATGTTTACATTATATACGTTAAGCCTTGTTCTGGGGAAGGAAATGGCCGCGGTAAATCGGGGTTTGCGGTAAATCGGGGTGCGGTAAATCGGGGTTTTACTGTACCTGTGCAGTGTGTATAGTAGGCATGCTCAACAATGGTCATGCGATACCAAAATCTGCTACAAATACTGCTGTACATTATAAAGTTATACTTAATTTACATTAACCAAAATGGACATACTAATACTATTACTAATATCACGCCACGTTCAAAGGATCATGGTTAAGTGCTGCTTGATTGAAGTTAGTAAAAGCACATTAGTACATAGCTCCAGCGATTTATTGTGAAAGCAGAAAGTAGGGATTACAATATAGCTTCTTATGACATTGACAGTGACTCAGTTCAAGCAACTGAAAATATGCACATTTTTGATCAACAAAAAGCGTGCCTATTTAGTCGAAACATGCGCCCGTTAAATAACGCTTAAATTGATCCAAGATTCAGAAAATGCCGGTCATTTGTCACCCACAAATGATGATGCTCGGACCAATTTATTCAACATTATATGATTTTAAAATTTATATTTTTAGGTTTAATGCATCAAAAATGCTTATTTTGCTACCATAAAAGTAAAATTTAGCGGGGACAGAAGTTCCACTGCGACTGTTCTATTTAATATTTATCACCGAATGCAGAACAAGGTTTCGTGATCACCGCGCAACCAATCGTAAATACTTAAATAGGAAACAGGTTCTACAACAGTTCTAAGAAGCAGCTTGTTATAACTGCAAGCTGGTTCAGTAGTTTACACAGTTACGCGATGTAAAAAATCGAATATAAATTAAGAACTGTGTTCTTGTTTTGCTGCAGTTAATATAACAGGGCTAACAAAAAATCATCACTATTTAACTTAGAGTTCTGCCGAAAACTTTAAATTCTCAGCAGCGCTTTTATCGATTAAGCTGGACGAACTAAAAGGATGCTTGTAATACAATAACCGTCCACAGTTATCTGAGTTATGTAACTGTGGACAGATGGCGCTTCTGAAGATTAAGTGCTGATTCTGTGTCCGGTGCAGGACGATGAAGTATAATAAGAGCAAGTTTTACTTATCTTTTACGTTTTTTTCATATTTTCTACAACGGTGTCTTCTCCTAGAACAAACCAAAAAAGGAGAAGCTTTCGTGCCGCGACAGTCACGGATGCATGTGCACCCGTTAAAGTGAGAAAATAGAAAAGCATACGAAATTCACATACTTACTTTCAGGCTGAGGTACGTCTCACTCGATAGAATTTTAATTGAGCAGGAGTACGAGTCAATTAGGCCAAAGAGCGGCTTATTTTTTCGTATAATTAATACCCGCTTTTTTGCGGCTTTCGGGAGGAATCAACTCGGGAAAAACACATCAAAAAGCCATATAAGTAAGAAAACAAAATGTGAAAAGTAAAGTTGAGAACCCGTACACAATATATAATCGAAAATATGTCTAAAACCCCCTAAGAGTGATGTATGAGGTTAATATTCGTATTGTATGAGGTTAATATTGATGTTCAGTGATTGCCAATAATAATAATAACATTTGTTTGTTGTTAACTAAAAATGCGTGAACAAGCCTGAATCTTTTATACTGCGAGGAAAATGCTTCATATGAAATACAAGGCTGTCCCAAAACTGGATCAAATTTGGTGAAAAGCAGCTGCTCCATTTTCATCGTATCGTTAATCGTGTAAATTGGAACTGCGTGGAGTTGGTAAGCATGTGGTTTTAAATTTTCGTGGGCAATTAATAAAGCATGTGCTCTGGTAAAGTAGTATCATTTGCTATATAAATAACGGAATTAATGTAACAGTTATTTAGTATCTCTATAGCAAACCTTGCTATACAGGTAACAGGCTACATCTCTTATCTATTTTGATATCTTGATTGCAATTCATTTGTATTCTGTACCTGATCCTTTTATCAACAATGATTCTTGGAAACAAAGATTCTTGGAAAGTCGGTTGATACAGGCAGTGGAAGATTCCTTGAAAGTTAAACCTAGTGGTATTGGAGCTTCAGAGGAGAATTCATAGCTTATTATATATAATATTTATAAGCTTATTATTATATAATATTTGGTATATATACCAAATATGTAATTAGTCATGAATAGATCTTTCAATCAACTTTTTAATCAAACAAGACTCATTTACGTCGCTCTCATCAGAGATTACCAAATTTAAGGTCAGGAGAGGTGACAATAATCAATATGCTTTATCAAACAGTCTAGTGAAATAAGATTAAACTATCCGGCAGTCTTTGTATGGTCAATAGTCATGTAAGTTAGTTTTTATTCATCGAATGAAACACCTGGAAATGAAAATGGGAATTTGATTTAGTGAAATTACATATAATTTTCGAAAAATATCGATCAGAATTACATTTAACATTTTAAAAATAAACAATTCCGATGCATTTAACATTCGGCGATTTGGGTCGGTAAATCACATTAATTGATATTCTGAACTCTGATATGTAACAAACAAACAATTTAAGTCCTTATCAATATTTAGGATAATTGATACAAGGATTTAACTTACCACTTAAATCTCTTACCATCTTGATTTTTAACACCTTCATATCTTACACCTTGGTATCTTAAAATAATTAACAAACAACTTGAAATGATTAAAACAAATCAATCGCATAGGGAGAAGCGAAGCTATGATCAAATTTGTTTTGAGAAGTGGTGTAAAACTTGAACCACTTTGTAAAGCTTCGCACATTAAGATACTGAACTCTGGATTATACGTTCCGAATATCATTGAAAGGCTAAAAAGCATCAGAATTAGTCCGAGCTCAAGAAATAAACGACGGCAAACAAATTTGCAATAGTTGATTGCAATTACAGTTAAAACACCTCGTCATAAAAGGGTCCGCATTACAAGGGGTTTGCCATGTCCTTTGGGGTCTTCCACTAAACTTGTGCCTTATAGTTTGACAAAATTAACTTAACTGCGAAATACTACGCCCAAGCAAGCTGCATACTTTAAGAAATGAATAATTTTATAAGATGAGGGCCGGGTTGTTTATTGGTAAAAACAGACCATTCTGTCAAGCAAATATCTGTCAATACAAATATCTGGGTAGATGTAATCAACATTCCATCAATCATTATACTGAATTCAATTTTATTGCACTCAGATGATATGGCAAATTTATGAAAATGTGATGGGAATGTAACGAAATTTGAATTTGAAAACTGTTTAATAAACGGAATAAGAACAGGAGGCAAGAGCTATCAGATACTAACTGGACAATGCTATGAAAATCTGGAAAACAATAACAAATAAATATTTTCAATCAAGTGTTCAAGCCACACATTATTTTAAAAGGGGATCTTGCAGAAACTTCAAAACCTAAACTTAAATCTAAAACGATTTTCCTAAGTTCATAAAACCAATTTTTAAATCGTATTGTGGTTAAGCAATTTAACTTCATAATTTTAGACAATTAAAGTTTACTGCAGCCTTTTAAGGTGCTAATGTATTGCAATGGAACTTAATACTTGAACTTTTCTACGGAACGTACAATAACTCGATGAGAGATTTTTCGTGGGATTTCCCATCTAAGGTTTACCAATCAAAACTGAAAACGGCAATCTTTCTTAGAAGATAGAAATCATAAAATATTACTATTAAGATTAATGCTTCTTAAATTGTTACGAAATTATTAAATCTGCAGCTAACAAACATATTACAATATTCAATCATGGAACGTACAGAGATAGATCAATGCTTTATTATGGTCACGACTGAAGTACAGTGTTATTACTCTACTTATGAAAACATTAGTTCAAATTGGAAATGATCAGTCAAAGGAATATCCACTACGCTCACAACAATGGGCAAAATCTGGTTAATGATCCATTACCGTTGCATCGGGTTTGAGCTGCGCTTCTAAAGATGCTCGGAATCCTCAAAGGGTACCAGACTTGATCATGGTACTGCCAGTTTCGTTAGCCCCACTCATACTCCTTGTTTTCATGCTCTCACCAGGCTCTGAGGTGACGTATCTCCTGGCGCTCCTGAAGTAGTTCAGGATCATCCTCCTGATGGCGGTGCTCCTTGTTACGATAAAGAGGGGGTTGAGGGTCCCCGTCAGGATGGGACAGAAGATGAAGTTGATGTCGAACCAGGAGATGCCTTGAGGGGAGATGACAGAAGTGAAGATGCACCCTGCAGTGATGAAATGAGGTAGGTTCATGAGGAGGATGGTAACAGAGCTCCTCCTTTTCTCCGAGATGAGAGTTTCGTCCTCGGTCCCTCCTGCGCTTTTGTAGAGCTTGCAGACGGTGAAGGCAGAGCATGCGGACCCAACTACGCAGTGGAGGGCGCTGATGATGAAGCAGGCCATGACCAGTTTAAACTGGATGTTGTTGGTGTTCTCTATCTTTCCAAGGATCAGCAGGATTATGAAGATTACCTGAGGAGGGTAGTGAATAGTGATTTACAGCGTTATTAAAAAGTCGGTAAACGTGCGGCATTTCGGGTAACTAAATCGGAAGATTTTCATCACGGGATAAACAGCGTTAAAAGATTCCATGACGACTGAAGCAGGATTTTAAAGTTCTATTCCGAATTAGAAATGGGAAAAATTATTTATTCTTACATACCTGAACGAACATATAGCCGACATGGAGCAGCAGGTAAATGATAATGTAGCTGTTATTTATCTTGTAGAAGGGGTTCATGACCTTGATGAACCTGCAGACCCCCAGAAGTGTTGTGGTTACCTGCAAATTAATAATTAATTAATTAAGTAATGACCAAGCTCATGGCAGATGTGATATTTAAGGTTACCTGTGAAGTAACTTAGAAAGTGAACATATGCTCCATTAAGTGCACCTTTGTATATTGGTGGTTCTTACTAACAGTATTATAGTGTCTAGAGGTGACAAGTTGATAATTACCTGAGAAGTGCACCCGAATGTACACATAATGCACACAATGTACATCTCGTACATGTAGTCGTAGAATACAATCTTGGGTTGCACCATCAGGGCTCCGTAGAATGTAGGTATCAGAATACACACCAGGGTATCAGCACCTGAAATTATGAGACTTAATGTTTTATGAAAACAAAATGTTATTTATATTTTAGAGCAGGCGAAGAAAAGTACATTTCGTAAACTCTGAAACTATGGGTATCTTTAATGATAAACGGTTCAATGATGCAATTAAAATGAGATAAAGAAGTGTTTAAATAAACAAGTGGTGATAATAACTTACAGGCAGTTATGACAAAGAGAAGAGACACGGAGCTCTGTCTCTTACTCCAATTAAACATGATGATAAAGGGGTTCAGGCCCACCCCGACAAACAAAGAGGAAATGAAGACCAGTCCGACCAGGTAGTTGATGACGTAGTAGTATGTCGGGATAGGCTCGAACATGTCCCGAGTGTTGTTGTCCCAGGAGAGACCTTGGTAGTAGGTGTTGTTCCAGAAGAGGATCATTGTGAGGATCAGAACACTAGCTGCGAGAAATAATGAGAATTGGAACATTTTGTGTAATAAAGAAGTAAAGAGAGTACTATATCCGTGGAATTACGAAAAATAAGAACTAAAAATACTAATTTTCAAAATTCGCACGATTCCAGATAGACAAAAGAACAAGGAGCAAATTACTAATCTTAGAACTGCACAAAACGACTCAATATTTCATCAAAAGGTACGAACAAATTTATTCAGAATTTTTTATTACAGAAGCAACAGTAATTTTTGGTCTCCTCATATTTCAACTTTATGACGACAATGTTTGCTTGATGGCAGCAGGCCTACAGTTCGTATCACAATTTTATGGGAGGAAGAATTCAATAAGCTTATCTGCTATTTAATAAGTAATAACATTACATTTTGACGTAAGTATATTTCAAAATGGGACTTAAATTTCGATATTTTGATCAAAAGCATTCAGAGAGTAATAAGCTCAAAGAACGGTAATAAACTTGCAGATGATACTGACGAAGGATTTCGACGACTGACATTTTGAGTTTTGACTTTTATGTGTCGACTGTGAAGCGTTCACAAGAATTTTGTCACCTTCACCATCATAAATGCCACCTTGCACCTTGTAAATGTAATTAATTCGATTATACAGCCTTAGAAAATGGAAGCGAAACTTCTATTTCTGTTTTCCAGTGCACAGGTGGAGCGGAATTATTAACCAATATACTGTAATATAGATCAATATAGTTGCCGGCATTACCTTATTATCTTATCTTCTTATCTTATGAGGATTCGTTGCGACGCAACAAGGCCATCGAATGAGTCGACCACCTTTGTTATTTTACTTCGGCATTACCTGCATTACAATGTAAACCAGCACTTTCAAGTAAGAGCTTTACAAGAAGCCGAAGGATCGTTCCTAAGGCCAGCAACGGTTAAGGCACTATGCCACACTTTCTTCGCCCGAGGCTTCGCTGTGTTGATCAAGCACAGCTACTCATTTAACCCTCACATACTCATATTAATCCGTCAATATTTAAAAAAAAAGAAATTCAATTATTTTGAAATAATGTAAATGGAGCAAATGCGAAACTCATGATAGTCGTTTTGATAAATCGTCTAATCGTGAGCTTCGAATCGTTCCAATTGTTCAATATCAAAACGATTATAATCTTATTAAGTTATTAGGAGCCTTCAGTATTATTATACTGAAGCTCACAAAGCAAAAGCAATAACAGCGACTGCAAAGACAAGACTCAGAGTGTGTGTGATTAGTTTAAGTTGCAAACCTCACTTGACATATTTGACCTGATCACTGCGGTTTATGGAGCTGACAATCAAGATCCGCTGACAACTACTTCATGGAGGTTTATTGGACGGTTATAATATTGAAGAATATGTGTGAAGGAGCAGTTGGACGGTTATATTAGATGCCCTAGGCAGCTTAACAACTGAACCAATGCCACGTAGATGAATAAGGAGATATTAAAAAGCAGTGCCCAGCTTTTAGCTTGCTAGAATGACTAATAAATGTTCATCGTACTGCGTAACGATACCAAAAACGTAAAATGCTGTGAGTATAATTCTTCAAAAAAATCGAACTGTTTATAATGCAGACACATTCTTGGAGCAGTTTTGTAGTGTTACCCCGGTTACCAAAACCGTTAATACGCATTATTAAACTGTAATAATAATTTAATATTAGGAATAGGACACGACATATTTTATATCATAGGATCCTCATATTCCCCTCCTCTCCCGCATTAATCATTATGTACATGCCGAACTGCAGCAACAAGGGTTGAAGCTATTGAAGGAGTAGGGTAACGTAGAAGTACGTAGAACTTTATAAATTTTATAAATAGAGGTAAATTAGAACGGTCTAGAAAGGAAAGGTTGAAGCTGATTATTGAGCAACGTTTGGTAGAACGTTCCATATAAAATGAGCTTTAGTACCTGGTACGTTGATAGAGGATGAGAAAAAGGGCAGTTCCCTGACCTATCTACTGATCACCTCATCAGGCCACTACCCTGTTATTACATCATTGAAAACATAGCACCGCTAAAAAGAATTCCTTCTAGAATATACAACCCAAATTTCGAATTTTGTTTCCGGAATCCTATCTCGGTAAGCTCACCATATAAACAGTCCTGATATTGATACCAGCCGGAGCTGCCCTGATGTCGGTATCCCATTATTTTATAGATTTAGAAGTACTACTACTACTCATCGTTAAAATTGCAGGTTCGAGATGCATTCAACTTACCTTATTTGAAGATATTTTGTACAAATCTTAGCCAGACATTTTGGATCCGAAGCATTGCCCCGCCATCAGGTGACCCTAATAATGTTGTATTCTGTACTTCAATTTCTGAGTTTGATAAGAAAGATGTCTATAACCATTAATCATCAAATGACTATACTCTAAACAATATAATTTTGTTAAAGGCGACCAGGTTTTATAAATTAATTCCCTAGATCTAAGCACCTGCAGTTTTTAAGAAAAGGTGTAATAACTTCCATTTTGACAAAGAGAGGTCTGCACTCGTATCCAGCGTTATATTTTAAATAAAATTGCAATCCACTTGGTGGATATAACTCCAGCCTACATATTTACGTGTGGTCTCCGAAATAACGGACCTTAAATAGGCTATTATATTTAACAACCTGAGACAGATTTTAAATGGGAAGGTTTTACAGACCTTTGAAGATTTATATTAGAAATTGAAAAATGCCTACTGTAGACAAATATGGAACCTGATTAAAGGCCAATAAATATCCGATTTTTGAATTAAAAAGGTCTCTCTGTGACCCATCAACAAATGAATTCTTAGATGTAATAACTTGAAGGGAAGGCTGGATATGCATTTCTAAATGGATGAGTTATTTTGCTTTAATTCGCCATAATTCGTGACCAAAAATGGCAAACTTTCCTTTAAACTTTAGGCATGAACTAACAGTAACGGTGACTTCCATAAACTGACATTGCATCAACCATTTATCAGACGCTACCCGACCTTGCTCACAAGTGTTCCCACGAATAACGATCCATTATCTCAGCGATAAAATGGAGGGGCGGTGGAGGGGACGGTGGAGTGGGTGCAAGGGATCAGCGTATCTGTGATCAATATTGACGTCTCAGCTTTAGTTAGTCGTGATAGGACAGCACAATTGCAGACAGTGACTAACTCTATCAGGTTAATAATATCTAACTGTAGCAAGGTGTCTTCCTGGTATATAGACAACACGTATTAAGTATGTGTTCGTGTGTTTTTTTGGTGAGCTGTCGCATAATATCACGACTTTATAATGTTTGATTGATATTTAAAACACTTTTAGAGCTGCTCTACACAAGCAATTGTGTGGTGATCATAAATATTATATTCAACCACAGTCTTATCCCATCCTCATCGCACGATCACACATTGCCGACAAGCACAACAGCTACTGCTCTGTTATTTGATAGACTGTTTGTGTGAAGTTAAAAGTACAGGTTGTTTTTACACGGTATGCAGTGTACAAACACACACCACCACAAGGCTGACAGACGGTATCTCTCTTATTTGTCAGCTGCTGATAGATTTCGATTGTTCTCTTATCCCAGCCCCGAGTTGTTTTTGTTTCTTCCAGCTTGATTCATACTTAGTAGGTTTGGAACTGTCAGTCTATGTTATTTAATTAGGTCCAAGATCAGGGTCGGTATTTATAATTCAGTTTACAGTGGTTTGGTGTCTTTGGCCAAGTCCTTTCGTGCATTACAATTTATAAATCGTTTTTAACATTCAGATTTAAAAGCCAATCACGTAAACCAAGAGGATATTTTACTTTTTCTGATATTTTTGCCGACATTCGAACAATTATTTCAACGTCTGTTGCTTTTTATCAAGAATATTAACAGCCCAGATGTGGGTACATTTCGTTCTTTTTCGGCCAGACGGCCAAGATCTGATGTCAAATGTGTCATGGGCTTCAGTTTGTCAAAAACGTTATCGACATTTTCTGTTGCTATATAAAGCTTCTTAAGGCATTATTTTACGAACCTCGCCTAAATCTTTCCACTAAAAGTAAAACCCATTTTTACAGATCAACAATTTCAACATCCAGTTCGGAATTCTCATTTTTGCATATATTGAACGTTTGCAGTTCAGTTAGTAGTTCTGTTAAGCAAAAAATTTCGTGGTTTTGCTTGATCGTTACGTCATATCGAAGAAAATATCCTAAATTTAATTAAGTTGACCTTTTAATTCAGAATAGATGACAAAAGAAGGGCCTGGTCAGCACTCCACCGACAGGTAATTAAAATTCTGCAACCTGATATCAATTATTTGATAATTAAATTTAAATGCCTTTTTCTTTGAGTTCTTAGGACGATCAGAGTCGACTGCTCACTATTAACCTATCATAGGCGACTATAGCGAGGGATTTGACTTAGTCTCAGCACAGAGTTGATGTATGGGGAAAATGTTTGTTGGTACTACAAATTAAACGAAGCAGCTTAAGCGAATGGTGCAAGGAAAGCTGACAACTATAATGCGACACAACAGCTACCTTATCGGACCTTATTTGGACGGACATTACTTGAACGCTGGAGGCCCTAGCGTTCATCTTAATGTCCGTTCAAATAAAGTCCGTTCAATTAATGTCCGTCCAAGTTAAAGTCCGTTGAAGTTTTTTCAAAAATTTTTCCATTTCGAACTTTTTGTCCAGAATATGACAACTTTGAGAACTTGATTGTGCCGTAAGTTAACGATGGAAAGGTTCTCCTTGGTCTGCCGGAGGCACAGAAAATTCTACTAGTATATGATGTTTTCAAGGGTCACTTGGCGGAAAAAAGTCAACGAAATTATGGCACTCAACAATATAGTTCATGAACTAGTCCCCGCCAACATGACAAACTTGTTCCAGCCTCTAGATATTACGGTAAATCGTGTTTCCAAGGACATTGTCCGACGTTGTTATTGTTCATATTACTCAGGGGAGGTAATGGAACAGTGCTAGGAAAGCTCCACGTGATGTTAAGGTTA